AATCCTACTTCCGTAGTGATAACTGCCTCGGAAACCCAAGGAGGGGTCGCTATGAGTCGGGGCCGACTCGACGGCAAATAACAACAACAACAACAACCAGTCCCTTGGACTAATTGTTTCCATGCGTCTTTGGTTTTGCTCTGGACGAGGAGAGACCCCTTGTTGCATCTTGATGGCTGCTTGCAAGTTTTTAAGATCCCAGTTGCTATTTGCCAAATTAGGATGTGGAACAATGTTTTTGTGTAGTATGTTATGCCAATTGAGCTTGATCTCCCCTGTGACTGTGGTCCTGAGCCCACAGGTCCAACTGCTTGCTCCCTTTGGATAACTGGCTGTAGCCAACCTTGTCCCTTGTCAGCTCTGCTATATACCTGAGAATTCTTAGAGAACATACAAATAACACCTGTAGAAACATAGTCTGTGTGGCTAAGAAGTTTTCATAACTTTGTGCCCTGTATGCTTTACTTGTATTCATGGATATATTTGCAGCACATGGGACTACATGTTTTTTTTTTTTTTTTACAATTAGCAAAACTAATTTTAAAAGCAGAAGGATATAAAAATACATAGTATAATCCTGTCACTTTCTAGAGATTCATACATTTACATTTGCCTTTTCTTTCATTAAATTTTTAAAATTAGTAGAGATAGCTAGCACTAAAGATATTTTACCATATTTTCACATATAACACCCACATATATAATATCCATATAGGAAATTAATGTATGAAGGGGTTGCATAGTTTGCAAAAAATGTATAACGTATGAGTATTTCTGTAAAAATATACTACATCTTAGTTTTGTTTTTGTTTTTTACAAACCTATCACTGAGTTACAAGCGTTTTCCTGCACTATTAAGAACTCCTTGCAAACAGTGTGTCTCACACTGTGGGTGGCCACATGGGACCCAGATGTGACAGTGCTGCCATGAGCCCACCTGCTGCCTCTACCTTTGGATAGCATGACGACCCTTCCCACTCGGGAAGGAGACTCCTAGTCTCTATCTCTTCCCGTTTTCCACACCCAGGTTTGTTTTCTCTTCTCTTCTTTGTCAGTGCACCCCTTGCCCGTTCTCGTGTAGAGCATTGGAGGGGCCGACGAGGGACCGGCATGGTGGAAACACCGAGAGCAGAGGGCCTGGGTATGAGGTACGGCACCACCCTCTTGCTGGGCAGGGAGCAGGTGGGGAGAGACAATGAACAGATGAGAAGTGGTTGGAGAATAACGTCAGGGGTGAGAAATGCTGTGAGAAGGCAGAGGGGGCAGGATGGAAGAGCGACGGGTCGGTAGCTGCTGGGTTAGATCTCTGAGTGCTGGGCAAGGGTGGCATTGCTGGCCAGGTGATACCCGAGCAGAGACCTGAATGGTGTGCAGATGAGAAAGTGAAGGTCAGAGAGGTTTTCCCAAGGTTACAAGGCAGATTCAGGACGAAATTAGTTCCTTTGACTCAAAAGCCCTGTATAAGTGGTGCCTCCTTCTCTAGGGAGCATATATCAGCATTCTGAGCACGTGGGTTCCTGACTGAAATCAACAGGCTCTGCCCATCTCTACCCCTTTCCCTAGTGTCAAAACATTTCTAGGAAGTAAAACTTTGGGAAGCGATTTTTCTGTGTTTGAGTTTCAGTGGGACAGAAATGGAAGACTTTGTTTAAGAAGGTGTTGGGGATTGTTTTGGAACTCAGTCATCCCTTGGCTCTGAGATCTAAAATTTAAAGTTTTTGATGTCCTTAAGGTCTGTCCAGAGAGGTGACCTCAACATTGAAGAAGCTGGAGCATCTCAAGTCATCCTGCCTGGGATGAGCACAGAATCTGAGGCTTCAAAATCCTTGGTGGCAGAAACCTCACTTACTGAGACATACTCTTCTTGGAATGTCTCAGAAGTCCAAACTGAGGAATTGGAGAATCTAATGACCTGGTCTGCAAGATCTTCTATTTTGAAGAATCAGAATACAAAGGCCCAGGCCTGGACGACCCAGGCTTGGGAGACTCATTCTGGGGACAGCCAACCCAATCAAGCCTCTCTGTCAGAGAAGGAGTCTGTATCAATCCCAGAACAAAAAGTCTCAGCTCAGAATGTGCAGATGACAGAGAAACAGAGTGAAGACGTTACCCGTCCAGTCTGGTCCAACAAGTATGAGTACATCCTGGCCCAGGTGGGCTACTCTGTGAGGCTGCTCAACCTCTGGAAGTTGTCCCACCTATGGCTTGTCTACGGAGGTATTAATTCCTGGGGCCAAGACTGGTGGGTCCATGAGTGGATAACAGGCTAGGGACCTGTCCAAGCTTCAAACTCATCAAACCTCTGAGGCATGCCAAGGCTGGAAACTTGGTGCTCTGGGCAGGTCAGGAGGGGCCAGGGGCTTGACGGACCTTGAGAGGGAGGAGGCTAGGTTTATGAGGCGGTGGAATCTAGGTATATGTGTCTTCCGGAAATTGGATGCCATGGAAATGGACACCGCGGACTGTGAAGAATGTTTGGACATCAACTGAGCACTGATGCCTGAGAGAGGACCTGAGGGAGGCCATTGGTGGGGAGTATGCTTTCCTGGAGCCCTGAGAAGTCCAGTCTCTGAAAGGCCAGATGGTTCTCAGAGTCTCTCCTTGAATACCCTTCACAGGTGTTTATATCATCCTCTACATCTTCATGACGTTCTTTATTGGAATTCCTCTCCTCTTCCTGGAGATGGCATTTGGTCAGAGGCTGCGTCAGGGCAGCCTTGATGTATGGAAGTTCACCAGCCCCTGGATGACTGGTTTGGGTTATACCAGCTTCATGGTAAGGAGCTCTGAGCTGCCGGATCTACCCTTTATACCCGACCCCCATCCCAGGCCTTCTCCTGGGACGGGTCCTGTGACCTGTCTTCCCTGGGTCAAGTCCCTTCGGTTCCCCAATCCTCTGTCAAGCCCCTCCCTTTTCCTGGCCGCGCTGCTGCTCTCCAGCTGCCTTCCCCGGCCTTCAGGTGTGCATCATCGAGGGCTTGTGCCGGAGTATAATCAACTGCTGGATCTTCTTCTACTTTGGCCAGGCCTTCCAGTTCCCTCTTCCATGGGATAAGTGTCCCTTAGTGAAGAACTCCAGTGAATTTGGTGAGGGGAAGAGTCGAGGAGGAGATGGGGAAAACTGAGGGGCGGGAAGGGGGTGGGGGAGAGAGAGGGAGTGTGACGGGGACGGTAGTAGAAGGAAGAAGGAATGGGAGATGGAAAGAGGAGAGAAGAGGTAGCGGAGGGAGTACAGGAGAGGGGAGGGGTCGCCTTGTCTAGCAGGTGTGTCCAAAGCCAGGTCTCCCCAGACGCTGAGTGTGCGCGGACGACACCCTCCATGTACTTCTGGTACCGGAAGACCTTGAAGGCCTCAGACACAGTTGAGGATGGTGGACCAGTAATCCCCAGTATCAGCCTGTCCCTCTTCCTGACCTGGTGCTTTATACTTCTTATCATGATCAATGGGCTGAAGTCTGTTGGGAAGGTGAGTCACGACTCTTAGACTGTGATGTCTCAGATGCTTTGCCTGTCACCTGACCCTTTCACTCCTTGATGCCCTGATTTCTCACTCCCACTGCCTTTGTATTCCGCTAACCCCTGACTGCAGGAGCTCTGGTGGAGTAGTGCCTAAGGCCCTTGAATGCTAACCAGAAGGCTGGCGGTTCAAACCCACCAGCCACTCCTCGGAAGGAAGGTTGGGCAATCTACTTCCGTAGAGATACCGCCTTGAAAACCCAAGGAGGGGTCGCTAGGAGTCGGGTCTGACTCGAAGGCAAAACAACAACAACAACCACCCCTGACTCCTGCTGAAAGCGGCCTTTTAACTTCTGCTTCGGACTCAGAACTTTTGATTCCTGCTGACTGTTGACCCCCCCTGCTGCGTGGTTATTGGCATGTCCCCCTCTCCACTCAGGCAATGTATGTCTTGGTGGCCATGCCTTTTCTCATCACTTTGTCGTTCCTCTTCTGGATTCCACTGCTGGAAGACCTGCCATTTATCCAGCATTTGTTGGTTTTCAAGGTGAGTCTGTTCTTCCCATTCCTCCATCAGCCTGTGGGGGACACCTTAGCTGCCTGTTCTTACAGGCTCCTTTCCCATGATCTCCTCTGTGTCCCCACCTCCACCACGAAATCTAGTCTTCTCCTCCATCATTTACATCCTGCCTTAAACTTGTCTTCTCCCTTTTAGGCACCATCTGTGTACTCTCTGAGAGTTTGGTTCCAAGCAGGGAGGCATGCTTTATCTGCCGTGGGGCTAGGCTTTGGTGTTATTGCCGCCTTCTCATCACACATGCCCCCATCCAACAACTGTCTCATGGATGCCTTTGTCGTGGTTCTGGTCAACCTGATCATCTCGCTGTTTGTCATGCCAAGCATCTTGTCTATCATGAACTTGTGGGCCACAGTCACTACAAATCGCTGCACTGAGAAGTAAGGCCAGCCCCTTCATTGAGGAGTCCTACCTCAAGCAATTCTAAAAGCCAGAGACCCAGACTTTTACAATTCTGTAAAGAGACCCACATTCACACACTCAGCCTTAGGTGTACTTGCAAGCCTCTACTCCCCCCTGTAGCTAAAAACGAGGACAGTAGAATCCCTGTCATATATTACTCTTCTCAGAGGCCTGTCTACCCTAGAAATTTTCAAATTCCAAGATTGCTAAGTATCCACTTCAGAAAATCAAAACAGAGCTGTGCTGGAGAGGGAGAGCAGTCAGGGTTACCCCGGTCCCAGACAGACAACACATTTGTACCTAAAACCACGCCCGTCCGGAGAACCTTCTGAGGTCTCTCACTACCCGAATGCCCCTCTCTTAATGCTGACTCTTATATAGGTGTTTCTGTTGGTCTAGTGTACTTGCACCCCAGTAGGACCCTCCTTACTCAAGCCTGTAACATATGCACATCCCTAATTTATATTCTTTAGGTTTTCGTTTGAAAAGCATTCATCACACATTTAGTGAATAGTCCATATATACCACAGAGACTTGGATACATGGATCAGACCACAGTCCTTCACTGAAGTTTCAGCTTTGGAAGGGAGGAGGGGAAAGGAATTAGACCCGAAGTCAGACAGTCATAAACTTGGGATAAGTGTATCAGGAGTGATGTGGTAGGACAGAGGAGACAGCTATTCATTCTGCTTGGGCTCCTCAAAGACTTCCCAGAGAAGGCAAACCTGAGCTGAATTTGTCCCCGGTCATGCTCCGCCAACCGTAACCACCACGACTCCCAGAAGCAGCCTGGGTCTGTGTATGGCTTCCGGTGCGTGTGTGCCTAGATCCCTAGGGTGTACACTCAGGAATGGAGTTGCTGGGGAGAGTATCTGCCCTTCAGTTCGGTCTTCAGTTTCACGATAACGTCTGATTTTCAAAGTTTAGTAAGTTTCCCTCTTACTAGTAATGTATGAGGAGCTCTGGTGGTGTAGTGCCTGAGGCACTTGACTGCTAACCAGAAGGCTGGCGGTTCAAACCCACCAGCCACTCCTCAGAAGGAAGGTTGGGCAATCTACTTCCATAGTGATACCGCCTCAGAAACTCAAGGAGGGATCACTATGAGTTGGGTCCGTGCAAAAACGACAAGGAGGCCACATGTTCTGACCTTCTCTAATCCCACAAGGGGAAGACAGGATTACCAGCAGTAACCCAAGGCCTATTCCTGCCAGGCCAGACATGTTGCCTTCCTCCAGCCCTTTCTTCAACCGTTCCTCCCAGAGCACCCACCACCTCTCTCCTGGGTTCGATAATTCGCTGCAGTGGCCACACAGAACTCACAGATTACAAGGTTTATTAGGGAAGCACCAAGCTACAACTCAAGTTCAAGAAAAATGCTCAGTCTCTCTCCCAGCCCACTGTCCCTCAGTCAAGAGTCTCTCACAGTCTCTTTCCCAGCAGTGCCGGTCCCTCGGTGTCTCACTCAGCGATGCGTGTCTCTTGCGGCTCTTTCCCAGCAGCACGTGTCTCTTTCAGGGGTGCGTGTCTCTTTCGGCAGCACGTCTTCCTCCACCAGCAGTCAGAGAGAGTTCTGCCTCCAGGAGGCCTCCTTTTGAGCCTGGAAGGGTGGTCAAACTAGCCAATCACAGCATCAGAACTCTAAGCACATGAGAGAGAGTGGGAACTTCCCAGAACATTGTATTGTGCCACGCCCAACAGAAATAACCCAGGTGGGCGACTTTAAAATCAGGATCTCCTCCGTAGCTAATAGCAATTCCCACCTTAGAGTTTACAAAGACTTATGGGTAGAAAAGCCACACTAAGTAATTTACTACACCGCAGTCCGACTCGACGGCACGTAACAACAACAACAACAGTAATGTATGAGAATTTCATTGTTGCGCTTTGTGGCAGTCTGGTGGGAGTGTAATTATATTTTTTGGTGTGCTTTTTTTAAAAAAAAAAAAAACATTACATACCTAAAGAAAAACACATTAAACAAAATGTGCAGTGTTGAATAGATAACTCTGTGTATAAAAAGCAGTTCCAAGGTGGTTCCTATGAGGCAGAGGTCACATAAATCCCAACTTTCCAGCTTTGTCGTTATTTCTGATGCCAGCCGTCCCCCCAGGGGACTGTCTTTCTCTGCTGGGTTTTATCGTTTGTGGTGATCTACTTTTCAAAACTGAGCCATTGAAGACCCCTGTGGAGTCCAGATCTACTCTGACCCACGGAAGGTCACCATGACATGACGTGAACCCAGTGGCAGCTGGTCTTGGTTTTAAAGTTGCGTGTGTCCATTTATGGAGTTTAATGTGGTCTTTGATACATACATTCTCTTTGTGGTCTTTTGTGTTTTACTTCTTTCATTCCACATATATTTGTAAGATCCATTCCCATTATTGTGTGTGGCTTTAGGTGATGCTTTCAAATGCTCTTTAATGTTCCAGTGTATGAGTAGGACCACACTTGATTCCTCCATGTGCTGTTGCTGGGCATTTGGAATCTTTCCAGTTTTGGGCTATTATAGGCAATGCTGCTCTAAGCATATTTATACATGTTCCTGTCGTAGGACCTTCTCACCCCTCCATCTGGTTGAAGAGGTTGAGTACATCCGGGGCAGTCCACCTCCAATGCTTTCCCCGTGTGTCACTCACAAGACGGGCACACATTTTCCTAGGCCATGTCCTTACGAGTGGGCTGGTTGGGCTGTCGTGTTCTATTACTGTGTGATGAACCTCTCCTAAAGTAAGAGGATTAACACAACAACGTGGGTTGGCGGGGAAGTTTTTCTGTTGGCCTTTGTTCTGGTCCCTGGTGCCGCTCTGACAGGAATATACCACAAATGGGATGGCCTTAACAAACAGGAGTTTATTCTTACAATTTGGAGGCTTTAAGTCCAAGTGCAGAGTGCCGGGCTCTAGGGGCTGGGGGAAAGCCCCTCAACCTTGGGGTCCAGCTCTGCCTCCTGCTCCTGGCCCACTGGAGCTAGAGGCGTTTCTTCACTCAGACAGCTGCTGGCTGCTGAGGCTGAGAAGCCCCACGGTTGACAAGTCAAAAGGCACAGTCCCGATGTTACCAAACCACACGGCAGGCCATTAACTTAAGTCCATTGTAAGTCGCAAGGTCGGCAGAGCATGGCAGGCTGTTGAGCAACGACACGGCTACATGCAGGGTCCAAGCGTGCCATAGGCTAGAGACCATTCCCAAGGCTTCTCCTTATAGACAGGAAGCAGACCACGTCCCAAAGGCAGCTAGCTACTCAGCTGCTTGTGGTAGATCCCACCATGGAGGTGATTGCCAGTCTCCTCATGGGGAATAACTACCACCAGCTGCCCAGCCCCTCAGCCAGGCCCAGCCGAGGTGACCCACAAACACAACCCCCACAGCCCTGCTTTGGGCTCGCCCACCTGACTGCGTTCAGCTGGTGCAGTGGGTGGGAGCTGGGCTCTGTGGCACCGCACTGCTTTGTGTGGGGTTGGCTGGTCCCACTTGTGCACTGCAGACCGTTGGCAGGCAAGCAAAGGCTGTTCTCCAGGGGCCCTTTCCGTGCGACCATCTTGGCGAGGTCCTCACGTGGAAGCTCACGGGAGGGCAAAGGCGGAATCTACAAACTGCCTTGAAGCCTGAGCATGGGAACAGTTGTCACTGTTGACACATTTCTTTGGTCAGAGGAGGTCAGAAAGCCACACTAGATTCAAATGAAAGTCAAACCAAACTCATTGCCATTGAGTTGACTCTGACTCACGGTGGCCCAGTGTGTTAGAGAGGGAACTGCCCACAGGATTGTCTTCGCTACAATCTTTACAGGAGCAGACGGGGAGGCCTTTTTGTGGAGCCACTGGGGTTTTCAACAACTGAGATTTAGTTTAGTCGACGAGTGCACATTGTGCCCCAGGGATCTCCCCAGATGCAAGGGCTGGGAAAATGGGCCTTTCATTGGGAGAAGCTGGGAAATACCGTGGCCATGTTTTTTCCCAATCTACCACACATATCTTCAACTTCCGCAGATAATGCTAAAGTTGCTCTCCGCAGTATTCGTACCACTGTATCATGGATTTACGTATGCAATGTATGTGTGAAAGTTTCCATCGCCCTACTTCTTGCAAACACTTAGATTGTCAGATTTTTAGTTTTACCAACTTGGTGGGAGTGTAATAATATCTCATTATGGTTTTAATCGGCGTATCTCTGGTTTTTAATAAGATTAACTCTGTTTTTAAGTATTTATTGGCCATTGGGTTTCTTCTTTAGTGAAATATGTGGCCATGGATTTCACCTATTTTTCTATTGGACTTTTTCTTCAGAGTTTGTTTTTATGTTCTGTGTACTAGTCACTAGCCGGTTACATATGTTAAAATCTTTTTCTTTCATTTTGTGTATTGTCTGTTTAATCTCTTAATGCTGTCTTCTTTTGGGCAATTTTTTTTATTTTGATGATTTCAAATGCACAGAAAAAGTTGAAAGATGTTTTTCAGGAACTTCTGGATGAGCTTTCCCCAGCTTTATGAATTGTTTATATTTTGTCCCATTGGCTTTGTCATTGGCTCTATATATATCATGTTTACAGATTATTTTTTGGAGCTAAATGAAAATAATTTGGAGACATCTTGCCACTTTAACGCTAAATACTCCAGTGTGTATTTCCTAAGAACATAGTCATGGTACAGGTATCAAAATCAGGACAGTCAACATTGATTTTGTATCTAAGCCACAGTTCATATTCCAATTTTGTGAATCATCCCAATAATATTCCTTATAGCTCTTTTCTCCAAGTTCGATGGCCTATTCAGAATCACACTTCAAGTCATGTCTTGTCTCTTAACAAAGACAAGTTGTCGTTGTAGGTGCCGTTGGGTCAGTTCCTGCTCATTGTGACACCATGTGCAGCAGGATGAAGCACCGCCCAGCCCCGCGCCAACCGTGCGGTCGTCGCAGCCACTGTGTCAGTCCGTGTCATTAAGCGTCTTGCTCTTTTTCACTGACCTTCTGTTTTACC